ATGCAGGCTTTACCATTATATATATATATATATATATAAAAGAATCGTCAAAGCTCATTATATCGTTTTTATAATTAATTGATTAATTTAATAAGTATATAAAGGAATGGTTTTAGTGTTACAATGTCACATAAAATTTAATTATATCACTTGAAACAGATATGTCCACGTGAAAGAAAATTAACAGAATCATAACCTATAATCTATCAAAGGTATATTATAAACATTTAGCAGTTACGTGTAAGAAAATATAAGGTCAGAAGGACCCAAACAAGGACAACATATAAACTAGTGTGAAAAACCAACTAAATGTCACATGGTTGACGACATTAAATTGGTTAAATACATTATAAAAAAAATTTAAAAACGTATATGTGCTAAAAAAAATATTTCATTAGTCACAATTTAAGTTTATTTTAACAAATATGACAGATTCCGGTAATGAAGATTCAGTGACGAAATTAAATACACAATTAAATAAGTCTATGGTGTTAATGGAAGATGTTGTTGACACTCCATCTCAAAGTCATAAACGCAAATCTATTACAATAAATACCAAAACACAACCACCCAGTGCGACTAATAGTCCTATAGTTAAAGCACGCAAGAGTATTTTAAAAAAATCTGACAAACGACCAAATGATGATTCTACAAATAATGGAGACATACAAATAAATAGTAATGAAGAAGAATTAAGTAATATGATATCTCAAGAATCATCGACTTCAATCCCATTAAGACCACATACTGTAAGAAATTTACAAATTATATTTTTGATATTAATAAGTAATCCAATAAAAACTATATGTTTTATGTATTTTTTAGTTGGAAGAATTAGTTCTAAAAGAAGCATTAAATGTGGAAAATATATCATCTACATTTAATCTAGAGGATATATCGGACAATGAAGACATATGGATTATGGATTTACCTAGATCAGTAAGTCAATAGCATGACATTATAACTTTTTCTAGTGTTTTAAAGTATTAAAAATATAATTTTGTTTTATATAGATAGACTCCCAAGAACTTTGTGGTCAAGTAATAACTTTAGAGGACAAATCAAAATTTAGAATAAAAAACGAACGATATTGTATAGTTGCTCATAAAATGGATCACCATATTACATGTGTTCTTAATACTAAAACGAAGACTTCCGAATACAAGACTGGTAACTTTCTCCATCTATTAAGCAATCAGAATAGAATGTATTTTTTTTATATGTATTAATTTCTATATTTTCTATGTAGTAAATATCAAGCCAACTGGTTCTTTAACAATGAGGAAGAAACTATCTGGAACACCGGAAATGAAACCAATGCCTGTAGAAAAGTCGGGCATGCAATTCCCTGATAATTTAAAAACAAGACATCCTTTACTTGGTGTTGTTCGCGAACGTAAAAGGAAATCGAAGAAACGTAGTTCGTTTAAGAATTGTAAATCAGGGATATAATGAATTTAGATTAAACAGATTTTGAATAAGTGTAAAAAATGGAAAATTTGGTATAAAAATTTTCTATCAAATTTTGTATTTTTTCTCAGAATTTTTATCTTTTTATAATGACTATGACTTTATATAAATATTGAAAACATTTTTATTTAGGAGTACATGTTAATTGTTTAACAGAAATATGCGTTAGAATAAAATACTGCCATGTATACATTAGAAAATTGTGAAAGTATGGATTTTTAGGCTATACTTACCTATTTTTTAATGACAAATTGCATTAGAAAATTGCGTGCAAGCGTGATTGTGCCGATAACGCTTTTTCCGGATATCTAGCAAATAAAAAGTGCGAACAAAGATTCCATCGTTGCAATTAAAAGATAAGATAACAAATAACAGTATGTGAGAATAACAGTGAGTATGAACATAACTCTAATTTAATTGTGAATAGTTTTTATTTATCGTTTACTTTTAATTTCAGTAAATGTAAACAACGCTTAACAATGATTAATGGAAATCCGCCACTACATGAAAATCCGCTGATGCGCGGTCGCCACTGCGCATCCAATCATGGACCCCGGGACAGTAGAACACTATAGAAAAATTTCCCAGTAAAGAGAGAGAATTGTTAGTGGAAAAGTCGGTGAGGCGAGTGAGTAAATAAAGCCTTGTGTGTAATTTTCGATATTGTGTGGGAGCGATTCGCGTATGTGTTCGCTAAAATTGATCGCCTGTGAACGGTGCGACGAGGATTTTTCGTGAGATTCGAAGTCTCGTGAGAGCAACGGCCGTTTCGATAAAAGGTCTCTCGCAATTAAGGTTAAAACGAGCAAGTGTATGCCAAGGCTTCGGGCTACTTCGAGTAGGAACCCCTCTGGCGGATAAATCGTAGACTCTCGAGTGACGTTCGCAGCGAGCGAATGCCGTTGTCATCCTCGTCGTCGTCCGTGTTGGTCGCATTATTGCGCGATCGCTCATTACGTTTACATAAATGGAAAGCCGAATCGGCCGCCTGGCGCGTCGTTGCGTATATATCGGGTTCACGCGATCTGTATATCTAGCCTAGAGGGTATGTGTCGAGCGAGACACGCGGATAGACGTGAGAGAAAGAGAGAGAGAAAAATTAGCAGCATGAAGATTGAAACGAAAAATCTTTGGAACGTAATAGAAAGAGATGGTGCAATTGGTAGTAGTACATAGTAATTTATCTCTCTCATTCCTGCCGCGTCAACACCGTTCATTTTCCCTACCACCCACTCCTCCCTCTGTTGTCCTCCTCGCGTCCCTCCTAACTCTCGCCCTCTTTATCCCGTCTCCCCTTCCCTCGCCAATCGCATTTTCCCCCCTTGAAATTCGCATCGCGAAACTCATCGAGAGACCGTCGTCCTTGCGTATTCACGTACGCTCGCGGTCGAGGAGGCATCGAGAGATGGAATTTACGTGTCATGCCCCACCACGCCGATCTTCCGCGGTGGATTTTCGCGTAGGTTTCTGTTATGGCGTAGCCAGTAAACCATCTCACTCGCACCCGTTTGACGTTTCTCGCGCTGCCTCCGCTGGGCCTCTCGCTGACGCCACCAACAGCTGTTTCGTCCGATCGTCGCCCTCGTAGGACTCGCGTTTTATCGTGTACGAAACAGAGGGAGAAAGAGAGAGGGAGGGAGAGAGAGAAAGAAAGCGCGTAGAGACGGTGACCCTGTCCCTATAATACTGTGCATAGTATTTTTTTTTCTTCCACGTCTCTTGACGACCCCGATATTGCGTACGGTGAGAACAAACTCTCGCCATCTCGATTCGGGCGAACACGAAACGTCACCGTCAGTCGTGTGCGGAGTTCTGTCGCGCGAGAGCCACGTCTCGTGTGTAATTGCGCGAGAATTCTGGTATGTACGTCTCCTTTGTTCGCTGCATCTCGCCGCTCGTTCTCCGTCGCGCTCGTACTTTCCTCTCTCTCTTTCCGATTTGACAGCTCCTGTCAAAACGGAACTCGTGGTTGTGAGTGATTGCGTCGCCCTTTTATCTTTGTAGACTTATTCATTTCGGTTGCAGTTTTCCTCTTATATTTCCTTTTTCTTCTCGGAAACATCATCATTTTGTCTTAAAGGTACATGACGTGTGCAGCTGAAATGAATAAACGTCGGGCTTCCGTTTAACGACGTGCTCCGTTCGCTCGTTTTAGATTTTACGTCGTGAAAAAGTACCGTATTCGCGTTTACGTTAAATCGCTCCCACTGACGGCAATTCGCGTAGAATGGTCGTGCTATTAACGCTATTCACTCGCGAATGGCGTTCACATCTTATACCGTGAATATCTAACGATGTGAATTTAAATTCAGTCAAAATTCAGTAAAAATGTGTTGTTTGCCGTATACGAAACCGAGAGAAAAAGAGAGAGGGAATTAGTTATACCAATCTGTTTCAGATCAGGTAAAGGTAGCAGCGTGTAAAATAAAGTCGCAAGCACTGTCAATTATTTAATACCAGGGAGGTGACGACTTTGCATGTAAGTAAAACTGCGATATCCAGATTTACGATGTAAAATTTGAAATACATACAACAATGTAGTGTCAGATAGAGGACTAGGAAAGTAGTTTTCGAACTGAACAGTGTTATTCTTTTCATTCTACGAATATATACTTTTAAACTTTTAATTCGTCACCTCTTATTTGTAGACTTTGGCACTTAGGTAAATATTTGTGATTTGCTGCCTTGTGACATTCACGGGATTGGCAACAAAGATGTCAGTATTGAATCAAAGCGGTGAAGATGCAGTGGAATGTCCCTTGTGTATGGAACCACTAGAAGTGGATGACTTGAACTTCTTCCCCTGTACCTGTGGGTATCAAATATGCCGTTTTTGTTGGCACAGAATTCGTACCGATGAGAACGGATTATGTCCCGCATGTCGAAAGGCCTATTCTGAAAATCCGGCTGACTTTAAACCCCTTTCCAAGGAAGAAATTGCAAGGTGCTTATAAATTATAGAATTATATACCCAAATTAAAAAAAAAAATGTTGATTACAATATGTATCATGTTTACTACTGATAACATTTCTTTTATTTTGTTTAGATTGAAAGCTGAAAAGAGATTGAAGGATCAACAACGGAAGCAGAGAGTTACAGAAAATCGGAAACATCTAGCAAATGTGAGAGTAGTACAAAAAAATTTAGTGTTTGTAGTAGGATTACCAATGCGATTGGCAGATGCGGATGTAAGTATGTTCAACAACGAACTCTATTACTTTAATTGATAATGGATGAAAACTTTCTATCGCCATCTGTTGAGAAATAAAGATGATACTTTGCGTGCTTTAGGTTTTAAAGAAACACGAATATTTTGGAAAATTTGGGAAGATACACAAAGTCGTAATTAACCAGAGTACTTCCTATGCAGGGTCTCAAGGTCCCAGTGCTTCGGCTTATGTTACTTATCAAGTGAGCTATTCTATATCTTTCCAATGGCCTGTTCTTCTTTCTATGTAATAATATGATTTATGACGCTTGTTGCAGCGTCAAGAGGATGCGCTCCGTGCTATAGAGGCTGTGAATAACATTGTTGTGGACGGACGGACAATAAAAACATCATTGGGAACGACCAAGTACTGTTCGCATTTCATGCGTAACCAAGGCTGTCCGAAGCCGGATTGCATGTACCTGCACGATCTTGGGGACCAGGAGGCGTCGTTTACTAAGGAAGAGATGCATCAAGGGAAACATCAGGAGTACGAGCGCAAGCTTGTGCAATCGTTACATGCACATGCATCTTCGGTGCAGCGGTATGCAGCTTATTCGCTCATAATAATAACGATTCCTTAGAGTCATTATGCATGAATCTAGTTCTGTATCTGATTACATAGGAAACCGACACCATCACCACCTGTAACAGGCAGTATTGTTAGGGAAACTGGAACAGTAAATTCACAAACTAAAGAGGCGTGGCCTTCGTTGCAACCGGGGCAGGCAAATAGTGAGTTTGAATAATAATCACCTTATTACTGTTGATAATCAATGAACATCGTTGAATTGTAAATTGATGAAAGAAAAAGCCAATAAGGCACGCATTACAAAACGGGTTTTAGATATTAAGAATTTTGCAATGGTTTTAAATATCATGTATTAACATCTTGTTTTTCCAGGCACACAAACTAATTGTAAAGAAGTATCGCCACCTGCGCAAACAACATCACAACTCAACAACGTAACGAGCGGAAACGGCACGGTAATTCAACAAAGTCATATATCCTCTGGAGTGCCCACGAATCAGCAGAACAACAACAATAAAGGTGAAAGTGGTGTGGGTGTACGGCGAGGTAAAAGTAACAGCGAAAGTAAGGCGCAGGCAGCTCGGAATAAACATAAAAATAGTCAAAATAAGGAAAAACATGGTGCTCGTACAACGTCGCGGTCCGAATCGAGTTCAGTCAACGCGCAAAGTAATTCACAGTCACAAATTACCGGGCAAAAGGACGTTAGAAACTTTACCGCTGATACAAACAGTGAAATGTTGCAAAAATTGGGCAACAAGTGCAAAATAGAACAGCAGCAGCAGCAACTACAGCCACAACAAACTAGCAAAACATCAAAATTAGTTCAATCGCAATCTCACGAAGTTAAGGTAAACGGTGCGTTACAAAACGGGGAGCGTCGGCATTCGGACAGTGAAACGGATCAACAGCGGGAAGGTAGCACGCCAGCAAGTACAATCTCAAGTACAGAAGACTCGAATGTAAATCACCAAGCTGAACACTTAGCTGAATCGAGTGAGGAAAACAATGGTGCTGTTCTTTTGGGTGAGTTCCTTACATTGATCATTATTGTGATCATTTGTATGTATATCGATTTTTTTTATGGGACAATGATTGTGCGAAATATGAAGGCCTTCAAATAAGATAATAAGAAAATGTTGTGAAATTAATTTGATTATGATTTGTAACGTTGTATTATGTTTTAATCTGGTAATATTACACAAGTTAATTTGGAAACATTTTAATTAGTGATGGAATTTAAACCGATTTAAGATATTTTGAGTTAAAGACTGAAAATCAAGAAGTCTCATTACATTTTGTGAGACTGTTATGGTTGGAAAATCTTGTGTTAAGTATTTTGAATAATATAACATATATACATTCATATACGCACTTATATGTATACATATACACATTCAAGACTTTCCAGATTTTTCAAAATTTTCAATCTAAACAGCCTTACAAGATGTTTTGAGATTTTTTATTTTCAGTCATTCTTAGTTTGCTTAAAAATTTGCAAGTAAGAATTTTTGAAATCCCGTCACTGATTTTAATATTATTAATACCAGAAAAGTAATTTCATTGATTTTTTTATGAAATTTATATTTGGATAGATTAACATTTAATTATGTTAAAATAGTTTCTATTTTTGATATGAAGTGCACATATATTATGTTTATTTTTTTACTAAAATTTTTATTATTTAGAAGTAGCTTTAAATTGCGTCTAGAAACATTTATTGTGTAATGTTACTTTACTAAAAGAATATGGAAACGATTCTTTTATAGAACTGATTCAAATGAAATATATTTTTTAATTACTTATCTAGTTTTCTGGATGCATTTTGAACTATGCAAAATTTATTATTGGAAATGAGAATAGATATTAATCATGTTATTACATTTAACATGGCATAATGTCAATTATAATGAGATATCTATAATGAGTTATGAAAGCAATATGAAAAGTGTGCCTATTTTTTGCGCTGAATGTATGTCATACAGTTTGAATACAACGGATAATAACGAGCAATTCGAACAAACGATGTACAATATGCCAAAGTGTTTTATATTTCAATATTGTAGAATATAATAGAAGAGTTATTCATATATGCCAAAATAAAGAGAATTCCTTAAAAAAAATAGTAGTAACCGTTTTTTTTTTGTGTGTTTTTATGTGTACACTTAACTTTTACACCTTGTAGCTTACGATGAAATAAATACTAATGTGGACATATAATTATCAGATGAATCCTGCGATTAAACCAAGATTCTTCCAAATTATGTACAATTATGTATTTGAGTACACCATACTTTAATCTAGACATTATTGTTGCTACTGTAGTTAATTTCTTTTGATATGCACATAAACACTTGTTGCATATTTATTGAAAAGGAAATAATAGCATGAACAGCTGTTTATTCTGGCATTATAAAAGTATAGAAACGATGTTGACCGCGTTGTGTAGTGTAGAGATATTTTGCGTATCATGTTTAGGTTCATCTCCAGCTAGCACAAATTCATCGCAAGGTGCCAATCAACCACCACCACCGGGATTACACAACGGATCTCAAATGCAACTCAACCATCGGTCGATCTTTCAGGCGGACAATAATAGTTTCTTCAGTTCCAACACTTTTCAGAAAATATCAACCACCACATCAATGCCACCTAATTCACTCGCAGGCATGTACAATACAAGTTCTTCTACATCTCTTTGTTGCACAGTATTTTACTATTATTTTTACTTCTTTAATTATTCAGAAGTATTTGAGATTAATCTGGATGAGAATTTTATTTTGCCTTTCTCTCGCAGTGCTGCAATTATTGCAAATTATCAATGAATATTCTATTCGCTATACAGCAAATGCAAATCTGGATTGGACGGGCACAGGAGTGGCTACAATACCTGATTCCTTACCGTCAGTTCATTCTAGCGAAGATTGGCAAGCGGCTTTTGGCTTTCAACCCGAATCTTCTCGAACGAATCACATTATACCAAAATCCAGTCCTTCTGATTCGCCGAGGGTGACATTCAATGAGAATTTTGTAGACGCAGACGTTTACGTGAATGTACCGTATACCACTACACTCACAGAATCATCATCTGGTACCTTTACGTCCAATTTACTTGTAAATTCACCCACATCCAAGTTTATGGCAGACTTTCAGCAACAAAATTCACTGCAACAAAGGCTTCATATGCAGGTAAGCAAAATGACGACATATTTCAAAATTTTCTATTCGAGAAATATGACTTTATTAATATAATGTGTATAAAATTTTGAAGGCGCAGCAAAATCAAGAGAAATGTGAATACATAAAGCAGAATGGTCACGCTACTCTGGAAGAAGTTCGGAATCACCGTGAATCAGGCTCAGACGTGAAGGCAGACGACGATTTAGGTTTCGATCCTTTCCACGAAACGCAAAAAGCTTTAGCCGAACTTATGGAAGACGAATTGCAGATGCAACAGAAGAGGTTATTCGAGCAACAGCAGAGAGAACGAGAGGAGCAAAATAGGCAGCATCAGCATATCGCGAACCTTACCCAACAACACTTTCCGCAAGTAAGTATTCTATACATATACGTACATTATATAGATATGCGTGCGTGCGCGTGTGTGTACGCTAGTAAAGTTTTCATTTTTCATCAGTGTCGTTAACATGTTTTATGCCGCATGTACCACCAATAGCCTACGTTAAACTTTTTATTCAGGTCGTTTGAAATAAAATATTATATATTTTTTATTCATGTGCCTTTTCAGGTACAACGCATTTTGTACGGTTCTCCTTTTCAAAAAATTTTATAATCTTACATAACACATACCTTATATAAATATATAAAAAATTTCATGACGTAAATGGAAAATTATATAAAATCAGGGACGCAACATAAGAGAGATAATATGGATCGTATTAATAATAAAATCAATAAAATACGTCAGTAAAGTTTAACAAATAGTATTTAGGAACGCTCTGTATGAGATTTAGTATTTTACTCAAATGTATGAAATATTAAATGAAATTAACAAACAATTACTCTTTCAGGTACACATAGCACACTTGCAGCAAGCTCAACATTTGCAAAATCTGCAAGTGCTTCAGTCGCATTCCCTCTTGTCTCGTCTTCCACAGAATCTGTTACAAAGCGGCGCGCAGAGTCCTGCTCAGGGCGCTGTGACGGCTACCAATTTAGGACAACGTAGTCGCCTTCCGCCACCGGGTTTTCTTGGTTCCACGCCAAATCATATGAATTCATTCGGTCTCGGTATACCACGACCAGCACCAACGAATAGCGCCCTCTCCGGTTAGTGTTTCTCCAATTTTTCCAAGCATCAGGAATCATAGTGCACAGTGCGTGAAACTTACATTCGTACATAACGATACGCTATCGTAGCCATAGACGAGAATAAGTTGTTCATCTACTCGCGAGTTTTCGTAATCTGTTTTAATAGAATTTGTACAAAACGTACTGATCTAAAAGAAAATTACGAAAGTGCATATTTTAATAGATTGTAAGATTGATGGAACGTTGCTATTCATGATTTATTTCCAGTATCATGTTTACAGGAACTCAGCCATCTCAACAGAGCGCGTATCTTCCTAACGGAAGCCCACTTCTCAACACACAAAGTAAATTGTCTACCTTTTATTCGAACATTCGTATATTTCGATAGTTCGTAATTTAACGCAATGATCAATTTTCCGCACAGATATCGGCAAATGTGCGGGTGACACCGTCTATACTCTGAAGGATTGGTGTGAAATTAACAATCAGCAGCAACAGCAGCAATTCCACCATCAAGCATTGCATCAGAAGGGAGGATGGAACAATTTCGGACCTATCGCGGATTGGACTTCGATCGATCCTGCTATAGTTACGTCGTCTAGACCTCTTCCATTCCAAACTACCAGCACATGGCAGTTTAACCACATTCATCCTTCTCATCCTGTCACACATAATGCGCAACAGGTACGGAACTTGAAACATTTTTTATACACTTTTGGCAGTTTGAATGTATAACTTATCATAATAATAAATTGACATGTAATTCATATTTAGGAGCAGAATGCACCTGCTCAGCATTGGGCGATGCAACCACCTCCTGGCTTTGCTGCACCGACGACCACAGGACAACTGAGTAATCCACAGCCGAGCACAACCGCACAGCCGCACACTAAACTCATCTCCGCAGGATCTGAAATCGAAAGTAAGTTGATCGCGATCAAGCTCCGTGCAAACTGAGAAATGTCTTATAATGCGCGGTATCGAAATATATAGGGCGTCTATATTGCAGACCTATAAATTTTATGCGAGATGAACGAGTCGAGGCTTCGTAATGTTTCCGGAGATGGCAAGATCAAATCCAGCAATTGAAAGAAAAAAAAAAACGACAGTTGATAACGTATGTTTTCCTAACACTTCTATATCTCAACGTTTTATTTCAAAGCTCCATTTATTTGTGCGAATATCTATTCGAATAAAATATCGGAATAATAATATATTGTTGATGCGAATTCTTCGATGTACACGAAGATTGTAATACACATTTTCTTCACGATATCATCACATAACAAAATTTATTACTTAAAAGTCTGACTCTATCATTATACATGATAAACTTGTGTATATCAAATTATTTCATGATTGAGAGAATGATGAGAAATGATCACAATATTTATCGCATGCATTTTCCTTTTAAATTATCAAAGTATTATTTACTTCGAAAACATATAAAAAGAGGAAATGATATATCCTGTGTTTACAAGATTGAAATTAAAAATTTTAGAAAAAGGAATAAATAAAAGTGAATGCAAATATAATGAAACTCCCACATCAGCTGCTTTATTTGACATTTGCAAAGGTTAAAAATATACTTTAAATTAAAAACTTTGTTGTGCACCTCTGAAAATTTCGCCGTCATATTCAATAAAATTGTCATATTTGTACTGCCATTTAATAATACAGTACCACGCGTTGTTTTATATATTATATTTTATTATTTTACAATATTGCCTCTATTATGTTAAAAATTCTAATCTATACAAATTTTATCAAAAGTTTTTAAGAAGGATAATCTTTACTATTTTAGCATGATTTACGACGATTATTGTAATAATAAAATAAGAAGGCATGAAGTTTTATTATTTTTGCATACATAATTTTTCTTCAAGCGGGTCATTACGACATTGTGCATTTTGATGCTGAATTTGCTAATGACAAACTTGTTATAAAAAAAAGAAAGAAAAAAGTCTTAACTTGGTATCTACTGAGTTAGTTTTGATAGCATTATTTTAATTGATATCTTCAGTTATATCGTAGATCGAATCAATTGAACATACAGTCATACAGGTCATACAGTTTACAAATTATTCTGTAATCGAAAGAATAATGATATCTTCAATCTCGACAAGGCTATATCGATGTTGACGACTAGAGAAACTACAGACGGCTGTCTCCGAAAAAAAAGTTAGTAATGTGGCAATGTAATTTATTTACAAATGCGAAGCGAGAGAACAACAGAAAAAGAAAACAAAGGGCATATTAAAATACGATGTATATGATTAAAACGTGAAACGTCTGAGCAATGTACCATGATGTACATAAGACGCGAGTTACGTCACACGAAAGTTATTCCCAAGGCAGATGATGGTTGAATTGTATCTCTGCTGTTTTAAAGGTGAATAACGAAAGAACGTTACATATGCAAAATAAACGAATACGATAATAAAACTATAATTATTATAAAATCTAATTCATTAAGATAATCGAAAAATATACAAAGCGCAATAAAATTCCTGTGGTAGTTCTGTTTTTGTCTCTATTACCCTTTACTAGTTTTTATCTGCTTAATTAGTATTATTGAATTTTATAGATTCCACAATGGTTCATTCTTCTTCAGGGTTTCCAGAATTTTGAGAAAATCTACTCTATGCAGTTTGCGACTTAAACTATTTATTTGCAATATATCTCGAGCTTTTAACGATGTTCTTGTACAAGAGTTATTTGTTGCTTATGCACAATGACTTGTTGTGCATAAATTAATTAGTTTTTTATAGTTGGTAAATAAATAAGCTCGCATTAGTGATATAATACTGTTTATTGCCAATTTTGCAGCTTTATTTTTATTATAGTAAAATCCACACAGTTTTGAATTCGGCATCTTGCTATTGTTGACAGCTAAAAGAATTTTCTTTTACGGAGTAAGGAGAATTTTTGTTGACGCATATATAGTAGTTTCCGTCGTCTATGTCACCTGTTAATATTTTATCATCCACAAATGTGCAGTCGGTTGTATTACGATTAGGACAGACAGGTGAGCTGCAAAAACATCCAATTATGATAAATAATACGATAACACAAGATAAACAATAACATTTATAAATAAATGACTTGAGGTAGCAAACTATATAATTATTTTTTAGTGTGTAAGTAATAATGATTTTTTCAAAATAGAAAAAGATTAAATAATATGCATGTTATATAACTTCTATTTGACATATACGTAATTTGATAACAAATTTTTTTTATTCAGGAATACTCACGAAAATAGGAACGATTTAAACTTGGACGTGTGATCGGCTAAAGCAACAGACGGTGACACTAAAGTACTAGGGAATGCGTTACCCTCCAAAATATCAATCAGATATTCAATGGCCCTGCTGTGTGAGCAAGCTACATCTATATCTGGAAACACGAATTATTTTTATTTGTAGTTTCCTATTTTTTGTTCTCTGTCAATCTCGCACCATTCTAGTACATCTATTTGGATATACAGGTATTAACTATAAATATAATAATTAATCTTACTACATCCTGGCTGGTTCAGTCCGTCATCGAATTGGAAATTTTTGTCACCAAGAGGTTCTCTTTTACTAAAAACGGGGTAAGTAAGGGACATTCCAAGCGACGAGGTGCGAAAAATTGTTACATCATCGGCATCCGTTTTACAGAGCCTATTTTCGCAGTTGTTACTTGAAAAAAATGGTGCTGCGGGATCAAGACCGATGATACGGGTAATATTGCCCTTGCACCATTTCTGGATGTTCTTTGCAGCGAAACCACTTACGTGCGCACCGAGACTGTGACCAATTAGTGTGATGTTGTCCCTTGAACATTTACACTCCTCGATCACGAGTTTGATGAATCTAAAAGAGAAAAGTACCACGCAAGCTAAGGACGTTATCTTATTTCTTCATTTAACGCTCATCATTCAACGAAATGTAATGATTTATTTAATTGTTATATTAGGTGTGCAAAAGTTAGTCTTTTTTTTTACACGTTTTCGCGTTAGTCGCATAATATATGCAATACAGTTCAGTCATCAAACTCTTTTTAAAAACGCAAAAAGGCGGGAATTTATTTGAAGTTTAAATAATTTTACCAGAGCGCTGAAAAAAAGGCAAACTTGCACATACCTAATACATATATTACTTATCATTTATTATATTATGCATATTAATTTTAGCACTGGAGTATTATATTCGATAGATATAACATGTAACATGTGTAAAAGAAGGAAGTATACTTTGCCAGGAGTTCACCAACTTCGCGAGTATTTTTGACTGCACTAGGATACCCCAGAAACTTTACAAGGGGTATTCCATTCGTACACGCAGCATCGGACCAGTCCAGTGCACATACTGTATAGTTTTTCTGTAAAAAGGAAGAGGATATTTTATTAAATTATTAAGATTTACAATATTTTTATATATTTCTTTTCACGTTTAGTGCAATTTAAGATTTGTGAAATTGTTTCTCGTAGATATACTGTATTTTGATTTTAATTTTTCTTGTGTATGCGTAATATCTACCTTGTACAATTCCGAAGCTAGTTTAAAACTCATTGAACGATTTGCAGAACTAATAAAACCATGAGTCACGAAGGCAATCTGTTTATTCGGATCAATTGCATCACAGGTTTCATTTAGCTCGATAACTTTACCCTTAGGAAATTCGCTGAAGGAAATATGAATATAGTCAACGTGAGAAATGAATTAATAATAAGTACTTACATTTTACCTGTTATATAGAATCATAGATACTGATTTAACGCCGAAAACGCAAGAACGTGACATTCTCTCGAGATCGAATGTAGGCTGTAAATTCACGCATTGTGCTAGAAGAGTTATAATTACTGTAGTGATAATTTTCATTATACACGAAAGACGGATCACTAAGTAGAAACTGACAAATAGTGAATTAAACAACTTTGTGGTATTATTAAGAGCTAACCGCTTTTTATAAGTAAGGTTTTACAAAAGTATTGACAATTGTAACATTATTAACGGCTGTGTAAACTGTTTTTTAAATGTAGAAGACTTGTGGAAGTTTGTGAATTATTTATGTCAGTATAAATATATAGAAACATACCATTAATAAATATTGTCATCGTGCATCCTTTTTACAATTTTTTATTTCTTGGTATCTTCCGGTAATAAAGATGACAAAGTGTGACATATGCAAATATTACTGCAAAGTGATCTGTCTTTGGAATTATTACGCACTTATCGATATGTTGAGTAGCATGTTTTTCACTGTTCACATACGTTATTAAATTAAATTAGATTATAAAATAAAAATACTTTTTATTAGCCATATTTCGGCAGTTGCGTGTATTTTAAGAGTGATTAAGTGTAATTTATTTATTAATTTGCAATTATATCTATTTTTTTGTATGCTAGTTTATTTATTATTGAGTAGGATTTCTATTGCACAAATATATTTTTAGGATATTTTTATATATATTTTTATTAATGTTTTATACATATTTTCGGATACGTATTTTTGATTGAAACACGTAATGTTTTAATATTAGTATTATAATTGTTGATTTAAAAATGTGGAGCTGTTAAAATAAATTACTGGTTTATTAAATCATTGAAAAGTCCAAAACTAAATCCAAAATAAAAATTCTAAACAAAGTTTGAAAATCATTAATAATACCTGTATGCATAATGCTGAACGATGTGTATATGTATACGAATGTACGCGGTAAATTGATTGAAATAAATCGAACAATCGAATTGCGATTGTACAATCGAAAGATCAGATTGACTAAATTGGTTATATAGGTTATGTTCAGTTATATCTTTATTGTAAGGTTAACTTTGATCTTGGCACGAGTTGCCTTTAAAAGACTTTGCAATACGTTTGTAAAATTTCATTATTTAACAACATTCTATTTCTAGTTGTTAAGAATACATTTTCTAGATAATCATGGTGGAGGAGATTCAAAAGAAGCTACAGAATGAAATTGATAAATTAAGACAGATGCAAAAAGGTAAAGAAACAACTACAGTCTTTTTTTGTTAAAAGTATTGTAGCTTCTGTTTTTATATTTTATTTTTTTTAACATATTAATATTTTAATAATTACAGATTACAATAAAATGTTAAGTCAGAGGCAACAATTAGATGGACAACTAAATGAGAATATCATGGTGAAAAAGGAGTTCGAACTTCTAAAAGAAGACAATGATGTATTCAAATTAATTGGACCTGTGCTTGTGAAACAAGATTTGTACGAAGCTAAACAGAATGTCGACAAGCGTATGGATTATATCACAGCTGAATTGTAAGTTGATTTAAATTAATATTTGATTTCAGATTTATATAAAAAGAGTTTTAGGAAACGCGTTGATGACATGTTAGCTACCACGGAAAAGAAATTGGATACTCAAAAGGAAATGTTAGAAAAATTGCAAAGTGCGTTCCAGCAAGCTCAACTCAAGGCCTCACTAAACCAATCAAAATCATAATGTCACAAATACTAGCTTTGTGGAAGTGAGCAAGGCGAGTCTCAGTGCTTTATATGATTAAAATCTAATAATAAACAAATAACATAGTTAACAATAAGTCTCATGTGTGAACAATATACTTTACATTTTATTTATACTGGAATAATATGTAATAATTGTTAATATACAACTTTTGATTATAAGTTATAATCGTTCAAGCGCAATTTATAATGTAAATTGAAGATTGTATGATTTTCACAGAATATTTTCAATTTTAATTATACATTTTTAATTAATAAACATAACTGATTATGTTATTATAAATATCTTTATATAATTTTCTGTTTGATAAAACTTATAAATGTTATATGCTTAAAGTTAGTTATAATTTTTCTAGAGTGGAAAAATTATAATTAAGACATAAATTGTTTTATTTTTTTTTTATAGTGTATCCAACAGCCGTCAACCATGTAGTTTTTGTTGGTTATTCCACTCTTGGGCCGAATTTCCACTGAGCGCGTCACGCATCGACATCAACAATACTTTCGATACACTCGATCTTTCATGCCTTTTTTAAGAGTGGATTTTCACTGAGCGCGTAACGCGTCACGCGTCGCGTTATCTGTCGCGTCACGAATTAACCAATAAAAACATCTCATTTTATTCGCGCAGCAAATAATGCAATAAAATGGGATGTTTTGATT